TTAATGATGCGAATTTTACTCAAAATGAATGCTTTACTTATGGAATCTGGTCAAAATATAACCCTTTAGGTATTATTTCTTAAGTTGGATCTCTGGGTTTACTTGATAGTAACTGTTTCCATATACACAATATAATGGGCAAATCCTCACAAAGTTTGAATCTTATTTACTATGACTGTTTAGATAAGATCACTCAAAGTATTAAAAAGATACTTGAATTTATAAATGAGGATGAAGAGGTATTTAAATTTGAAATTAGCATTGATGTTTTATAATATGAAAATATTTGGTACTTTTTATAGATTATTGAATGGCCAGCATTATTTAAATTTGAATTTGTAATATTTCAAGAGATTACCATGAAAATGCATGAAATTAAGCAAATGTAACGACCATTCAGAGATACTAGTATTGTGCTAAGATTTGGAGGAGGTTTTATTGTAACAAATTCGAACATACCAAATTTGTAAACAAATACAAAATTTTCATACTTTCCAGGATTTATAATGATATAAAGATTATCAATGTAAACATTACAATTAGATATTGATTTTGATTCAATTGTTCAAAACACATTTGGTGATTATGGATCATGTGAATGTGAAATGAATGATGAGGTTAAATTACCTGATGTCTCATTAGATTGGTTGGATAAATAAATATATATATCAAAAAATACAAATTGCGAATCCTTCATTTTATCTGGGTGGCTTAAAATTAATGATATTATATCGTCAACAGGTGATTTTACTTATAAGTTTATAATGTTATCAGCGAACTTTGAAAATTAATTTTCTAATTAGAATCTATCTCCTTTTCAAATGAGCTATTAAATATCTTCTGGAGTTAAAAAACTTTTATTTTCAACTTATTCTTAAACCTTTCCTGATGTTACTATTGATTTTGTAGATGATGCCTTTATAATAAAGAAGGAGTTTATTATAACAAACTCCATTTTAATATGGCATAATATTTATGTTAATTTATAAGACGATTTACTTACTGTTGTTATTAAATTTTATGAAGGAAATGCAATTTATGAGTACAATGATTAATCTAATGTTCACTAATTTCATTGTATTCAATCTAAATTGCAATATGGGAATCTTCTCTAATCTGCTGGTAGTTATGTGATTGTAGATGTGAAGAATTTAGTATTCATGAATTGTAATGAATCATTTCAATAATAAACTGTCACTTTAGTTGTTAAGACTGTAATGGACCTACTATGTACGATTGTTTATCTTGTTCACTCGAATCATAAAGAATATATATACAAGAACATAAGGTTTGTGTCTGCCCATATAATTCAATCGATGAATATACTTGCTAAATTTATGTTAATTCAGAACTACAATTGATTTAAGGAGAATAAAATTTAAATAGCTGTTAATTTGGCTATTTTGAATATTAAGGGGATTGTTTTAAATGGTAATTGTTTGTTATTATTTAGTCCATCTATAATAAAAGAAAACTTAATAAATTGCTTGGACTGTTTAAATAATCCAAGGGAATGGAATAAGAGACCATTTTGTACATATGATCTGTATTTTGATAATGAAGGAGGTACTCAAAAATATATTTATTAACCCACTGCGTATTTTTTTCTTGACGATATAGAAGTTA